CTTTATGGGTCTTCATTCATGAGCTGTCCTTTAGCACATCACTGCCAGTGACCCTCGCTGTTGTGGGTGACCGGAATCACAAAGAGAGGGGCGTTCTCCCAGGTGATCCTGGAATCGACTCTGAGGAATGCTTTGAATGCCACAGCAGGGACTGAGAGCTAGTGCAGAGAGCAAAGCACAAGATCTGTTTTCATAATAACCTCAGTTGTTAATGAGGTGGGTTACTCTGTTTTCATCCTTCAGGACTTTTTCGGGGCACACAGGTTTGCAAAGTGCTGGAGACTTCTTCCATCCAGGATCGTGTCCAAACATAAAGTGTTCTCATTGCTGCTTGCTTGGAAATATAAAACCTGAATAGCTTTGACTATAATTTGAGATGGGCAATTTCAAATTGTCAAATGTTTTAACAAGTCGCTGCTCAGCATTGCTCGGATGACGTGTCCATTTTCTCACATTTGCAATGGGTAAGTAAAATGGATGAGCTTAAACCCCGTAGAACAGTTTTATTTCATGTTTGCAGTGGGCTAGGAGGATATATGTAGTATAGTGTTAGCTGACCATCCTTGTTCCCTGTTTCAAGCTCCAATAGAGAGAGGTTTAAAGAAGTGCCAGGGTTCTGTTAGTGTAAACTGGGGGAATGCGTATGGTGTGTTGGTGGACGTGCTTCCACGCGTGAGGCTGTAAGTCCTTCCTGGGGGAAGAGGAGGACTCTTATCTGTTGAGCAGTAAGATGGCATCTGGCTGATTGCTGCAGAGTCTAAGTAGCGATTCCTACCCTGAACCTTAATGATTACCCATCTTGACTTGTGGACACCTGTGTAACACTTTGTGAGAACTTATCTTTACTCCTAGCTTACGCTTTTCAAAAGATGGACATTTCAGCAAAGATAGTTGTCTTTACACTTCTGTGCTAAAGATTACCACCTTAGTACATTAATCACTTCGTATGATTAGATTTTTAGGATTAATTTCTATTGACATATCTGCTTAAGACTTCAAGTATTTGCTCACAAAATAATATCTTACATTTTTGGATCATTATCGGATGCATTTTGTCTGCCAGTGAAAGTTAACTAAATAATCTGTGTAAAGCATATAAAATGTCATGCAATGGAAGAATAACCAGCATATTTTGTAGCTGAGTTATATACTGCTACTGTGAATGGTATGCTGTGACTTGGCAGATCAGATAACTTCATCTTTATTAGACTTGTGACTAACTTAATTTTATTACTGATTTTGAGAAAATATTTGCGAGCGTGAATAGATTCCTCCCCCCTCTACTGTAATGAATGTAGTGCTTAGGTTTTATTTCTTGCTAATCATTTTTATAGTTTTATATAAATTCTGTAGATGATCATCAGCTCCATGCTAAGTTAAACTCTGCAGACCTGTACCTTCAGCCACTAATGCAACCAAGAGTCTGCTTAAGATGATTCCTTGAGCTGGATCCAAAGTACTGGTTGATGGAGCACTTAAAAGCTACTTGTTTATCTGAACTGAGAGCTGCTGGAAGATGCCGAATTGGTCAATGTCATCAGTAGTGCTGAACAGTGCTTCAGATAGTGTTGTTTTAATCTGCCAAATTATTCAAAACCTGCAGATGTCACGGTGAGGCCAGCTTTATCACAATTTTCTGTCCGAGTGGCTCAGTTCCTTTGGGGGTGTGAATGCTGGTGGCCATATTATGTTTGTATCTCCTTCCAAAGGAGGACCTCTCCATCACGCAATCTGGCAGTGCTTCTGTAGAGATCTGCTCAATCCCTCTAATAAAAAAATCCAGAAATCTGAGGGCTTTTTCTATATCAGGGCAAGTAATTGCAGCTATTTCCAATTCCAGGTGAAGTAATTTTCTACCTGAACAATGATGCCAGGCAAGCATGGTGTTATGATCTGTCCTGGTTTCAGCTGGGATAGAGTTAATTTTCTTCCTAGTAGCTGGTACAGTGCTGTGTTTGGGATTTAGGATGAGAATAATGTTGATAACACACCGATGTTTTAGTTGTTGCTACGCAGTGCTTGCACTAGTCAAGGACTCTTCAGCTTCTCAAGCCCTGCCAGCGAGAAGCTGGGAGGGGGCACAGCCAGGACAGCTGACCCAAACTGGCCAAAGGGACATTCCATACCATGTGACGTCATGCTCAGTACATAAACTGGGGGGAGTTGGCCGGCGGGTGGTGACCGCTGCTCAGGGACTGGCTGGGCATCGGTCGGCAGGTGGTGAGCAATTGCATTGTGCCTCACTTATTTTGTATATTCTTTTATCATTATAACTATTTTCCCTTCCTTTTCTGTCCTATTAAACTGTCTTTATCTCAACCCACAAATTTTACTTTTTTTTCCCCGATTCTTGCCCCCATCCCACTGTGGGGGGAGGAGTGAGCGAATGGCTGTGTGGTGTTCAGCTGCCTGCTGGGTTCAACCACAACATGATCTAAGTACTGTATTAAAAAGGGAGGGAGTTGTGTTCTTCTATTTTCTGAAGTCTAAGTGAACTGAAATAGGAGCTTGATCAGATTTCTGACAAATGCATGTCATTAATTTTTATGATTAATATTGTTCTGGGTCTTGATTACATATGACTTCCTGAAAAAAAACAAATCCTTACTGCTGAATGCTAATAGATCCCATCCCTTTATAAACTCCCAAGGAATGCAAAGGGAATAAAAAATGTTTGCTTGCTTGTTTTTTCTTGGTCTGCTGCCATGTCCAACATCAACTAGCACTTCTGCTTTGTCTTCTTTCTGTCACATCAGCATAGCAACTGAGTAGGCAAACATGACTAGAAGCCAGGGAGAGATGGTAATGTGGGATGGTGGCAAAGGATTTATCAGGCCTTTTTTTTCCCCAGCTGGGTTGCTTAAGGTTACAGCAGGAGTTTCTAAATATTGGTGAGGAAAAACTGTTAAGGATGCAGGGTTTGATTAAATCACTTACCAAACTAGCTGTTCAGGGTGATGCCTAATTGTATGGTGAACTCCAGTTCAGGATCCATGAAGACAGTATGGGTCTTTCGGGATGGTGTGAAGGCAGATTATTAGGGTCTTGCTGCTTACAAGTCAGAGTTAAAAGGGAAGGAAGCTTTTCATTATTTCCATAGTCCTGGTGGTTAGAGCATTGGCAAGCAATGACCCAAGAGGTACAAGCCTTTTTCCTGCCATAAGAGAGCTTGTGTGGGGCTGCTGCAGTGGTCAAAGATCTTGGGGGAGAGTGAGCAATTAGTACACTTATCTGTAGAAAGCTCTCTATAGTAGCTAAAGGGAAAGCAGTTAATTGACAATGGTGGATCCAGGATGCCGTTGCAATGTGCAAAGCAGTCTACACCAGTGTCTAATTTCCTTGCAGACTACAAAGTGCCTTTAACTGTTTTATGTCCACATCTCTAATCTGTCCATAAAAACATGTCTTTAAACTCAGAGTTTGTATGAGCTCACTTGGTATGTTATTGGCGTAACTATCCACTCTCCCTTGCCCTTTGTATGTTTTCTGTGTTGATATGACCTCTCCCTTGAAAAAGGCATCAGCTACATATAAGCATACACAAGATGCTTTAAAATAACAGGTCCTTAAAAAGAAATTATTTTATGAGATTGTGATGTTGGGTGGATTTAACTGCTGTGAAGCTGTGCTGCTTGCAAGTGCTTTTCAGTGCTGGTGCCTGCCCAAGACACTGGCTGTGGAAAAGTTGGGTGCTATTTCCAAGTAGCTTTAACTTGCTGATTGTGAGAAGCAGCGTGGTAGCAACTATTCACCTGCCTGATGTTCTGGTGAAAGGGCATGGCTGTGACATGCACAGGACTAAGACTCCAGTTATTATTTTGTTCATACAGCAGTATGTGGTGTGCTGGGACTCCAACCTCGAGTGCTAGCCCACTCTTCTAGAGGGTCAGAGCTCAAAAGAGTGGCAAAGGTGTGTTGTGTTTTTTTTTTTTTTAAGAGAGCTGGAGTGTATGTCTCTACAAGACCTTATCTAGCTCTTGAATTCAAAGATTTACTTTAAACTACCTTGCATTGGCACAGAAAAACCTCAGGCACTAAAAGTCTTTGAGAACTGAAGTACTTTGGCTGTAGTGTATAATGTAATATCCAGAAATCTTTCAAGTACGAGTAATAATAGATAGCAAATTGTGAGTGCCTACCGCCCCTCCTGGGAAGACTGTGTATGTCTAACTCCTGCTGAGCTAGGAGTATAAATCACACCAGGCAGAAATATGAGTGTGGTTCCATGGGAGGACAGAGCTGCGCTTGTCATGCCCGAAAGAGGACAGTCACTTTCCTTTCTTTGGAGCTTCTTTCCCCCTTGGCCATGGCTGGTTAGTTTTATACTATTTCGGTGAATATAGTATCTGAACTAGAAGATCTTAAGGAGAGCACCTTGGTAGAGTGAATGAATTATTCAAACTGTATTCAGCAGTTCAAATGTAAAAGAGATTGATTTGATTTTTTTTTCTTTGCTTTTCTGAATGTATTATGTTTGTTTCATTATCACTAGATGTCCATTAAGTACTTTCTGTTCCTCCGTTTGCTTATGGTAGGCAGCTACACCTGAATAAATTAGGAGAGGCAATATAGAGAGGGTAGGATTATGTTGGCATGTGATTGTTGATTCACTTGCCAAAGAAAGAATAGGCTCAATTGTATAATCCTTTTTTTTCCTTCATTCTAGCACGTCAGTTCACTATGTTATTGTTTTTGTTGCAGCCTGCTAAGTTTGTAGAACAAGTCACTTCTTTGAATGTCAAAGCTGACTTATTTTGTAGCATCACACAGTAAAAAAGTGCCTTTTTTTATTATGAACTCTGATATTTTGAACACTGCCTATTAGAAAAAGTACCATCTATACACAGTCTGGTGAAACACTAAGCCATTAGTGAAATTCTTGTATGTAGGCGTGTGTTAGGTGTGTTTCTCCACACCCCGTCCATTCAAACAGTGTGGTCAGAATGCAAATAAAGAGAAATTCTCCCTTCAGAGGGGAGGTGGGGTGTGTGGCTGACGTAATGCTTACAGGGCGATACTACCTGATGGTCAGTGTACTGAATTTCAGACCATATTTAAGACTTTCATGTGCCATGCTCTCATGTTAAGAGTAAAATATTTGGGTGCGGAAGTGTAGAGTAAACATTTTTTATTTGTAGCAAGAGAAGCTTTCTGACCTGTAGAAAAGGAGCCACAAAGAAGAGGGGAAAATGATTGCAAAACCTGCAGTCTATAGAATAAGAAACTAGAGGGGCTACAGTTCTGGAAGGGGGATCTAAATTAGGTGCTGGGAGAGTTGAACATTGGCATAGGTTGCATGAGGAAGTGTGAGAAGACAATTTTCCAGGCTGTGTAGTATTGTTTCGAAGGTAAACATGGCTAGAGTGGTTAGGTACAACTGGAATAGAGGCAGCAGAGGTAGGACTCAGTGTAACTGAGGTCCCTGTTCAGTAAAAATCCTCAGAAGATTCCTTTGAAAGAAGTCGGGACCGAGGAAGCTCAGATGGCTAGTGAGTAATTCTGACAAATTTAATCTTTCGAGTAGGCTGAAACTATGGTCATTTTACTGCAGCAAAACTAAGTTTTGAATTATGTTGATTTAAATAAATACTTTTTTTCTTCCAAATTAAAGTCTTAAACTCCATAATACTTGCCAACTCTAGAAACACTATTAGAGCAGGAGTTGTTGGTAATAATAAAATGGTTTTACTACAAATTTGACTGATCGTCTCTGTCTCCTAGGTATCCCGGGTATCCTCACAGATATCTGGAGTAGTGTGTCCAGTTCTGGGCTCCCCAGTACAAGAGAGAAATGGAGCTACTGGAGAGAGTCCAGCAACGGGCCACTAAGATGATGAAGGAGCACCTCTCCTGTGAGGAAAGGCTGAGAGGGCTGGGACCATCTAGCCTGGAGAAGAGAAGGCTCAGGGGACCTCATCAGTGTGTACAAATACCTGCAGGGGAGGGTGTAAAGAGGACAGGGCCCGGCTTTCTTCAGTGGTACCCAGTGCCAGGACCAGAGGCAATGGGCACAAACTGAAACACAGGAGGGTCCCTCTGAATATCAGGGAATTTTTTTTTTTTTTTTTTTTTACCATGAGGGTGACTGAGCACTGGCACCGGTTGCCCAGAGGGGTGGTGAAGTTTCCTTTCTTGGAAATATTCAAAAGCCCTCTGGACACGGTCCTGGGCAACCGGCTCTAGGTGGCCCTGTTTGAGCAGGGGGGATTGGACCAGATGACCTCCAGAGATCCCTGCCAATCTCAACTGCTCTGTGATGCTGTTCCTTCAAATCAGATTAGTAGCACTTGCAATAGGACTGCTTAAGCACTGACTTCAATATGAAGTCATATCCCTCCCTTTTGTTTTTGATGCTGTCACTGAAAACTTCATACATCAGCCCCCTAAACAAGCTACATCTTTCCTCTGTTGCTCAGAATCAGTGAAAGTACATGCAAAATTTCCTACTTGAGACGCCTAGTAGGCACAATGACATGGCTCCAGTATTCCCTCTGCAGAGCAGGATCTTTAATGTAACCTTCCTTTCCAGGTGGTCGGAGGCAAGGTAAAGAAACCAGGCAAGCGAGGTCGTAAACCAGCCAAAATAGACTTGAAGGCAAAGCTTGAAAGAAGTCGTCAGAGTGCAAGAGAGTGCAGAGCCAGGAAGAAGCTGAGGTACCAGTACCTGGAAGAGCTGGTTTCAAGCAGAGAGCGAGCCATCTGCGCTCTTAGAGAAGAGCTTGAAATGGTGAGAAACTATCACTTAACCTAACCCTCAGTATTATTCGGACCTGCCCTCGTGGACTTTTGTTCTTGAAATCACTGTGACTGAGAGTGGGATTTGGCTAGCCATAAGGTATCAGAACATCAGTAACAGATGCACTCAGCTGTTTGCCTACTTTGTGTGTTGAACGTGAACCCCATGCTGCAAGTTATCTGCTGGTTTTGAACTGGAAGCAAGCAAAGAAAGTGCCATTGCTTATGAGTCTGTTGTATATGAAATGTTTGTTTTGGAAAACCTCTGACAGAGGTAGAGGGTGGAAAAAGGTGTGTTAAAATATGAAGGGGGACATACATCCCCAGTGTGTCATTGCTTCCCACAGACCTTTGTCTCTGTGGGGGAGGTTGATTCTTGCAGGATACTCTCTGTGTAGATGGTTGCACAGCATGTATAAATGGGTGCCTTGACCAAAGAAGCTGCATTAACCAAAGAGAATGCTTCATTTCTCAGCTCCTCGGTGATCTTGAGATGCCATTGAAATTTCACTGGAGCTGAGGATATTGTCCTGACCTTGCATTAAGTTTGTTTGAATAGGCAGAGCTACTCACCACAAGTGAACAGGGTTAGGATTGGGTGGAAAGTCAGCCAACTGACCACAGGTTTTTTGGTGTGCTTCAGGGTTTGCCAATGAAGAATTTAAAATGAGGGAACTAGGAATAAGGCACATGTGCCGTAACCGTGCCTTGCACAATCAGAAAGGACCTCTTAATAGTCAATCAGCCCCAGAGTCATGTGAAATATTTGTTTTTAATAGGCCATGAACTGGAACGGTATTCTGGCATGCCAGCAGTGAGAAAATGCACAAAGTGTTCCATGTTGTTTAATAATTACAGTATTGTGTCTAGTACTGCCACTGAGTAGCAGTTTATTGACTGAAACAGGATTTACTGAGGCCAGGTATGCAACCATGGACACGTGCTTAGCTCATTAGTGCTCTGCAGTTTTGTAAGAGGCTTCAGCCCAGTAAATTCAAACCTTAAATGAATATACCGGAAGGGAAAGATTACAGCTCTGTTTTGTTTGCTAATGTGAACCTGGCAGTTTGCTAATGCCTAATGTGTTTGCATATTTCAGTACAAGCAGTGGTGCATGGCGATGGACCAAGGGAAAATCCCCTCTGAAATAAAAGCCCTGCTAACTGGAGAGGAGCAGGGCAAAGCACAGCAGAACTCAAGCAAACTTGCCAAGGCTGGGAAGACAGACGCAAACAGCAGCAATCCCTGTGAGTATCCAGCCTATGATTAATTTCTATTTTGTTACATCTTTTGTGGTGTAGGAGGATGGCTGTGGTGTAGGAAGAAACATAAGGATGTGCTTTTGGGCACAAATAGTTGATTGAAGCAAAGAGCTTAGTGGGTGGTACAAAGACTCTGTGTAATGTTTACATGGACAACACAAATTACACTAGCTAGGAAGCTGGGCGGTTGTTTTAAAAGAAGACTCAATCTTTGTGTTTTACCAAGGCCTGTGGAGACCTGTGAAGACCTGAGACCTTAATCTTTTATAGCATTTTCTGTTTTCCTAATGCAAAGTAAATGGAGCACATAAAACATAATTGAATTTTTAAAACTCCATCAAGAAAACATTATTCTAGCTGCAAGCACACAAAAGTGAGAAATGCTGGACTTGGGATTTCCTATGGAGTCTTCTTTCCGCCTCATTTGTGCTTGTCCAGGGAATGAAATAAGGTTCTTCTGGGGATTGAAAGGTGAAAAGATCATGTGATGTAAAGTCATATTCCTGATACGTACACGCAAAGGAACAGAGTTAAGGTGTAGCATGGGCAATTCTGTATCTCCCATCTTCTAATTTTGAAATATTTCATGCTACAGGTTAAATTATAATTTACTGTAAATTTTTGAAAAATATGAATTCCTAGCTTTATGTTTTTAAAAAACATGAAAACCATATTTGTAACTGTAACAATCTTCCCCCATGGTGCATCATTTACAGGAGGCCAATGCAGAACTTTCCGCACTGCAGCAGAGATAGCTTGGTAGCTAGCAGAAGAATGCTCTTGTCAGAGAAGTGGATGCATCCCTGGGTGCAGGGGGAAGGATCCCAATCTGCTGTCTTCTCTTTGCTCCTCCCTATATGAAACTCTTTGATTGTGGTGTTCCTAAGCCTGCATGGAGTGGAGTTTTGGGGGTAATAGGCGTTTGTGTAAGCAGAGCCTTGTTCTTCCTTTCTCTACACCACCCTCCCCAAATACAGCTATGGCAGCTTTTGGGCATTCCCAATAAGAGATGGGGGCTGCTTTTGTGTCAGAGCCCAGAATTAGACTGTCTTTGTGGTCAGTAGGTATGTGGTTGGTAGCTGTTGTGGGAGTCTGAGAGGTTCTGGGGGGGGGAAAAAAAGGCAAGAGGAGGATCTCATAACAGCTTTCTAAAGCCAAATGGAGTACTGTAAGTCAAGGAGAAGGAACTGGATCAAAAGCTTTCATTAAGAAGGTTTATAGTAATGTAATTTGTAGCCTAAATAAAGGTGTTGCTTTCAGCATCCTTTTATAATGCAGCAAGTCTTTTATATTATTGGGACTCTTAGAGAGGTACTAGATATATTCCCCGCTTCTGCCCATATTTCTTTTGCAGGATGTGTTTCCCACCATCCATGCTCCTGGTAAGATAGTCAAAGCATGTCCCTCCACCTTGCTTCCAGCAGTGGACCAACTGCCATCTCCTCCCACCCATCGTATCCTGCTATCTTTCTGTATCTACCTACACTTTGGGCCCTAGTATCTTTCTAGCCTGCAACTTATTATGAATTCTGCTGTGCTATCCTGGTTTCCCAGCCAAAGACAATGCCAAGAACTGGTAGCAAGGAAAACAAGTTGCATCAGTTTGGTTTTATGGTAAGAGAGGTGGTGGCAAAAGTCTTGTGGGCTGATTTACTCATCCAAGATACTGACAGATAACCTGCCGCTTTCCTCAGACTGCTCTTTCTTCTGTATATGCTTTTTGCGTTTATATGATGCAATGTGGAGAGTGGAGCTCTCGGGATTTTCAGTGGGGGTTTTGCTTGCTTATTCTCTGTTTTGTTTGTGACAGTGTCTTTCTCTGTATTTTATGAAATGCATGGAACATTTTTTAATTTTACGTTTTCTTTGTTTCATAGAATAAATATTATAATGAATGACTTTGCTAGACTGAATGTTGCCTTCTTTTTATTGAACTAATTGGGTCTGTTTAGCATTATCTCAACTCAGGATTAGTCAAAAGCACTGAAAATAATAAAGTGCCATATTGCAGTGTACAGCACAGTTTTCAGAATTCCATTCTGAGCACTCATATATTAATCCTTAAGGCATGGTTTTAAATTTATTTTCTAGACCCTCCACACATGTACTTAGTTAGCAATTGCTAGAAATGTTGCATAGATATGGAAAACTATTATGAAAGGTTAAGTAACACTGAAGCAGAGATGGGGAGGATATCAGGGTTCCTCCCCACCCTGTGTGTTAGGCTCTGAACTGCAGTTTGTCCTGAAAGATAGCAACAAAGCCAACCCATACGTTTTGGGATTCTTGGCTATGTTGAATGCTTGCCTATCCTTTTTTCCCCTCCAGAGAACTCAGAAAAAACCTAGGCCAGATGTCCAGAACTATACTCTGTGAACCTTGCAGTTGGATTTTGTAACATGATCATGTCAGAAGTGTAATATATTATTTTTGGTTTGAAACTAGACTGTGTAAGTCTAATTCTAATGTAAACTATGTATTGTAATTAAACATATATTTCAAAGGTTATGTGTATACTTAACTGTCTTTCTGAATTGGGGATGTAGAAAACATGCAGAGGACTTACAGTATGCGTGACCAAAACAGCTTCACTCTGCACTAGGTTTTGTGACAAACGCAGTTCTGATCTCACCAGAAATACCCACTTGCTCTCTTCCCTCCACTCTTTCTTTGTTTTACTTTCTGTGATACCAAACAAGAAACTTCTCAGGAGTTAAGTTTTCCTTTATGGAGGAAATGGGGAGTTGGAATTTCTCATTGTGATGAGCAAATTCCAACAGTTTTCATCTGTTCCTCATCACAGTGGCTCCTGCTTCCTGGCTTAGCCAGCAGTTGGCATTACAGGATTGTGTCTGGCAAGCCTGGGCCCAGCTCTGTGGCACAAAGTGGCATCCATGTTCTAACAGGTTTTTTGTGCTTCATGCAGATGGGACAGGAGGCATATTACAGCCTACATCATCTTAAACTGTTTCCTTGTTTGCCCTGCAAGCCAAAATATGTGTGACACAGAGGCTTTAACTGCAATCTTCCAACCTGCTCTAGATGCTGTAGTTCATTGCAAAATGTAGGATTCCCAGCAACAATCATTAATCAGATAAAGTTCTGTGGCTTCCATCATGTGGCAGATCATATAAATGTTCTAGCTTTAGATAGATCTCCAGGAGTCCTTTATTTTGGAGTTTGAAGTTTAGCAGTTCCCCTTGAAAACTAACAAATGTTTATGGTTCATGCTCATTTGGTACTCTAATGCTTACAGTCTTTGTCCCCATTAAGGTGGCTCCTGGAAGTGATACAGCTAGGTCCTCTGACTAGGAGTCTCATATAGTACCCTAAATAATGGAGGATGTCTTATCCCCTCTTTGTGTAAGATGGGTACAGCCTTCCACCCGTTTCTTCTGCAGTGAGTGTGTGCAGCTGGTTCTCTCTCACAAACATTGAAGGAAGGAAATAAGCCTGGAAATGCTTCATTTTCCCACTTGCCATGGAAATCTAATGGTCAGCTAGAACCATTTGCCCAGGTAAAGGTGGGTACCTCTTGGAAACTATCCACAGCCTTTCAAAAATGCTGTCTGTAGGATTTGGTGTTTATAACAATGCTAGGACCCTGTTATGGTATGGTGTAGTGAAATTGAACTCAACTGATTCTGATGGAGTAAGCACTGTACAGTTGCACTAATCTTTTTGGAGAATTTAACCCAAGGATTTACCAGGTAGTGAAAACTTGATAAGAAAAAGATGTAATGAGTCTTGTCTTTTTAATCCCAAATATATATGCTTGAGGCATAGAATCCTGAAAAATGAAGTGGATACATTTAATAGACTTGTCACTCAACTGAGAACATTTTGTAATTACATGTGTTAAAAAAAAAAAAAAAAATCATGGTCTGCTTTCATAATCTGATAATAATAAGGGTTTGCCAAAGAACCTGTATTCTATTAAGTGCTTTTCAAAAGACTATTATAACTTGTATCAGAGGTGTTTGGTTGTAGTTTTTTTTTAATGTACTAGATAAATTTCAAAAAGCTTTTCCCTTTCTTGACAGCTGAAACCATTACTAGCTTTGGGAGAGTGCCTGTGACTGACTTGTTTTTCCTTTTTTTCCCTTTTACATTTTAGGGTGAAGATTAATCTACATCAGTAATGAATCTAGTTCTTCCCGGCATCCCATGAAGAGATGGAGAAGATTTGGCATCATAGTTCCATTTGCTATGTTCCAAGAAATTATAATCTCTATAATTAGCTATAAAATTACTCTTAATATAAGGACCAAATGTCTGAGACTAGTCTGTAGAGGAATCAGAGGGAAAGCTGAAATAAGAACCCTAGTCCTTCTCATTATGCTTAAGAGTTACAGTGTGAGTGACAGAGGGTCGGATGATATAGAAATCCCTGTTGTAGGTAAGGAAGGCAAAATGCCAGCTTGTGAGTTTCCTGCTGTTAGTGCCACTGAGCATTAATTTCTTTAAGTTATGTCGATAACTGAATTTCTTGTATGACTGTTGTATGATGTTGTGGATTTGTATTAGAAAACAAAGCTTCTAATCCACAGTAAAGTCTGAGGTATCCCATACTAGATAGCGAAGCAGTGGACTAAAATTCAGCTAATGCTATATTTATGGAATGTATAGATTTGTACATGTAGATATATAAGTAGAATTTGTAATGTCAGTTATAGCCGTTGCCTTAAGCAATTTCTGCAAAGGCTGTTGCTTGATATTATTTATACCATTATTTGTATTTTCTTTATCTTACCCACTTTAAATTGTAACTAGAAAATGCTGTCATTGTTCTGCTAATGATTTTCAGCAACACTTCATTTAAAAAAAAAAAAAAAATTAAAAAACTTGAACAACTGACTTTTGGTTTCCCTTTTTCCTCCAGACAAATCACGTGGGAGGTAGAAGTTTTTCTTCCATAACTAGTGCAAGATTAGCCCTGCTTTTTTGTGTGTCTGCCTGTAACTCTCAACTGGCTTAAATCAATACTACTAACATTAACTGCTGCTTCAAGCAATTCTTGTGTATGGTCTCTATATATTAAGGTGGGTAATGGTGACATTCTTAATTATGCTGCAGCTGATAGGTATTCTGATGAAAGAAATCTGTGTGTAAAAGACTACAAGTGCATTATAAAACTGTGTTTTCAGGAGACAGGGTGTTCAATGTGAATAGAAATAGCGTGCTATGAAAGGTAACTTTTTCCACACCTTTCTCATGGCAGCATTCAAAATACATTTTGATGAAGTTATACAGTGCTGGTGACAGCAATGCTGCATATTCCTGTGGTAAAGCATACCAGCGTACCAACTTTACCATCTCTTTATGTGGCATGCTCTGAATGCCTGCTGATGTAAGAACAATTCTTTCCTACACCTTATCGAACATAGATCCTGCCATGTTGCTAGGTCAGTGTTTGCTGTTTTGCATTTCTGGGCTTTTTCTTTCCTCTCCCCTAAGCAGTACTTTGAAATCTCCCACTGGTGCATCCTTTTGCCCTACAGAAAGTCTTCTGTGGATCTCCTTTCTTCCCTAAGTGGTCTGGCAGCTATTTTCAAAAGCTGTCAAGGGTTCCTTTTCCAGAGGACTATGTTAAAACATGAATTATTCTGCTGTTTCTCTCTGCCTCTGCACACATGCTGTACCATACCCACTAACTCACACTGAATACCCCTTCTGTGTTTTAAGCTCTCAGTAACATCAGAATAAATACCCCTTCTGCATTGCAAGCTCTTAATACTATCGTCACCCTTTGTAGCTCAGGACCCACTTCTTGTTTCTCTGCATAGCCTAGTGGAAGCAGTGCTGATAACAGCTCACCCCAGAGTGGTTTTTTGCTTGTTCAGACATTCTTCTGTTTAGCTGTGTGATTAGGAGTGTGATGCCCATGCCCTCATGTAGCTGGACACAAGGGAGCAATGACTGTGCAGGAACAGGGGACAGGGTGGAGCAAAGGCCCCGTAGCTCTTGCCTGTTCGGACGCTGTCATCCTTGATAAGTCCGCCTCTGCCACACCTCTCGCAGTTCTGAGGCCTAAACTTATGTCAAGGGCCTAAAGACCCAGGCTCTGAAACACATTTGAACCCACTGAGAGAGAAAACCTAAGGCGGGGAAGTAAAAGGAGAACCCCGCCCGCATAAAGTTAAAAGTAAAACCAACTTGTGATACTGAGCACTTAGTTTAATTAGATAGCAGTTACGGTTCCTCATTGTTAAAATAAGAGGGAAGAGGAAAAGAGGGCGCATTTGAGTAAAAGATAAGACCCAATCAAGGGCTCATCTACTGAGACCATGCAGCAACAAAGGCATAAAGGATGCAGACTGGAGGAGGCTCTTTGGAGCTCCCTCTCAGCTGAACTGAGATCCCTGAACCGTCTGTGACCACCAGCTTGATCCTTATCGACAGGTCGTATTACCCTCCCTGTGTATGTAGTTGTGTCACGTTAGGTGTTACTATTTCGTGAACCTGTATGCCTGCTTAAGGATTCTGGCTCTCATAATAAACGATCACCAT